ATTTTAGACACAGGCTCTCTGTTGTAATGACTCAACTCTGCCATGGTAGCAGGAAAGCAGCCATAGACAATTTGTACCTGGATGAGTGTGATTGTGTGCCAGTAAAACTTTATTTAAAAAAACAGGTCAAGGAAAGATGTCAGCCCCTGGAAAGAAATGGTTATACCCGTCTTTTAAGGTGGCAGAAGGATTAAATAAGAGAGAGCACTGGAAGCTTCTGGACCAACACCTTCCAGAAATTCTAGTGTGACTATAGAAAATAGCACATACCATCAAATCACATAAGGATACTGGACAACTTGCTTAAAATACGTAATCTCATTTAATGCTCACACAACCCTATGAAATAATTTCTATGACCTCCCTAGAGAGATGGTAGATTGAGATGGAGAGTGAGCGGTAGGGCTGAGATTTAAGGCCTCTGAAGGGTCCGTCCTTACTGCTAGACTAAACTCCCTCTTTAAGCTGCCCTCCCACAGGCCTGATCCAACCAGGGGAGATCACGGCCCTTTCTCCCATTTGCTGGTTTCTTCACCCGAACACAGGACTGACCCTAATCTGGCCCCTTGTCCACTGGATCGGGACCAAATTGAGCATCCATGTGCAGACATACTCCCCGATCAGGTTGCCACGGGCCTTCTCTCCTCAGCCCTTCAGCCCCTAAACCTGTTTGGTTTGCAGGAAACCCCAGCCTGGCTAAGGTGCTGAACTGAACTGATGATTGAAGTCGGGTGGTTTCTTTTCATAGTGGCTGCTGAGACCAGAGCTGACCAAGTGCCCACTCTTTCCAGGACAAGTCAAGTGACCACTCTCTCCAGGACAAGTAAGAATAGAGGACTTCAGGGGCTGGCTGAGTGGCGCATTGGTTAAGANCACACACACACACACACACACACACACACACACACACACACACCCATACCTTAGAGTGGCTTTTTCCGTCAGCATAGATTCATTTCTTCATGTTTCTGATCATGCTGTGTGGAAACAAAACACGGGATGGAAGTTTGCATGAGGTAGGAAGAAACTGGAACAGTCAGAGGTGGAGGTGGTCCTCACAGGCAACTTTAGATCCTCCCCAAGCTCCCTCTTGTGACCCCGTGCATTTAACTCAGGGCTGTGGGACCACTCCACTTAGCACTTAATGGTCCTCTACTCAGAAAGGCAGAGAATGGAAGGGTGGGCACGAGGCATCCCAAAATCTGGATACCGTCTTCTTGCCAATTTTGTTTGCAAGAACATTTTTGTGTAGGGCAAGTCATCACTGCTGGCGGGTACCTCGGACATGTCTCTGACCTCCAGTTTCTTTACCTGTGAAATGGAGGTGACAGAATAGCATCTACCTTGCAGGATTAACATGGGATCTATGGGATAGGAAACAAAGTGAATGCTTTCTAAAGCATTAGTCATTCTATCCATCACCACTATGTTGCTATTTAAAGCACCTAGTACAAGGGCCGGCCGAGTGACTCAGTTGGTTAAGAGCTCGCTCAAGAGTGCAAGCTCTGAGCAACTAGTGGTTCAATGCCCGCCCTGAACTGAGCTGCCGCTGAGCTGCCAACAGGTGGCAGGATGACTCAGCTAGAAAAAAAAAAAAAAGAAGATAATTAAAGCACCTAGCACAGTTTCTGGCATATAGTAGGTGCCCCCAAATTATTAGTGTATGTACCTCTTCTCTTCCTGCACTGACTTATAGTTTTTTAATGCCAGTACTGTATCATTTGGGACCATTCAGCAAACTAACAGTGGCTTAAATAATAAAGATATTTAATTATCTTTTATAAGCTATCTGAAGGCACCAGGACTGATGCAGTAGCTCAACACAGGTGTCCGAGAGCCAGCAGGCTCATTCTATCTTGCTCCACTGTTTCTCATCTCCAGGATCTGGGCCTCATGGTTGCAAGGGGGTTGCTGCAGTTCCAGCCAGCATATCCTCACCCACGGTCCAGGGA